ACTACACACACACACACACACACACACACACACACACACACACATATATATATATATATATGTATATAGCCATAACAACACGTCCATTTACATGTCCGAACATAGTGTGCATATACCACGTACGCATACATAGGTAATGGCACGTATCCATACTTGGTGAGTGAAGGAATCTTCGTTCTCATGGACAGTTGTGAAGTACTCCTCATGATGCCCTGCAGATCGTCCGCAGACCCACCGTTTGGTGATCGAGGGGTTTTCCTTAATAAAATGCCACTCGTCGTTCTAGATGTGTGTAAGCAAGTAAAACAGGTGTTATGAGAAACATCTCATCGGTTTACAAGACTGTTGACGTTGGACATGCAAACAGCCAGTTTGTATTAGAATAGCATTGTTTGGACTCTGCTCGTTGTATGTGAGAGTCTCTTGATGTGTAAGGCATAAAATCTCAAGGAATGTATACAGAAGTACGAACTACAACTGCACAACAAACTCGCTCATACGATTTACGGGAAATCGTTTTCTTAGGTGAAGGCGCAAAGGTCAATCCGGGTTTGGGGCTGAGCTGTGGCCGTACTAAGCTCTCTGCGCTGAAAGTAGTGCTCTTTTTCCTCCGAACCTCGGGCTGAGGGCCGGCTTGTGCGGCTTTTATATACTTGCAGTAGTCAATGGTAGGCAGCCGGCGGGGGTATGATAGAACTTTCCCTGTAAAAATAAATTTTCGACAAAGATGCGAAGACATAGGCAAATTAGGCATAATAGAAGCGAATATATCTCTTGAGCATGGAGGATGGCGACTTTATGCCTGGTTTACTGCATATAGCCCCACAATGCACATGACATTGCAGATGCGAAGAACCGCGCGACAGGTGCTTGTGTGCCGCATGCGTTTGCGTAGCGGATAGCATATCAATGATCAATCAACACCACTAAAGTCATCGACAGCGATATCATGTTTCTAGCTTAACCATTGCCCCACAAATAAACCAACTCTACACGAGATGTGTGAAGAACACTTAACAAAGTACTCTGCGGCTAGCTCCTAATAGCCTGTATAACCAGCATTGCTGTGTATATTCACTCACATGCCATGCGGACCTTTGTAGTCATGATGAAAGAAATTATAGACATGCAACACAATACTGAGCATCCAATAACATCCTGATAGGATGCCTATTTGTCCTCTTCAACGAGAGGGAAAACAGTGACAATATAACTGCTGAGCATGAGAACACACCCAAAAACACTCACGCCTGCCTCCATCAATAAGTGCGTGAACGGTACAATCACATCGTTTGGCAAACAAGAAGAGTACGCGTCGTTCGTGGCTCATACCTACACCCCTGAGTACCAAGTTGAAGTCCAAGACTTTGAGCTTCTCCACAGCACTTAGGAAGGTCTCAATTTGTGGATTTAGGACCAGAGCGCTCTCCATGTAGTAGTTCCGTATCGTCTCCACGTCGTCATACACACACGCATTCACATACTCGCCCAAGCGCTTCTCCATCAACGCTTTGCGCATCCAGGCACGGCCCTTGCCATGTGGTGTGACGAGGTCTTCCATCATGTTGATTTCTGTGCAGCACTCTCGGAGTGCGTCTACTTTCGTATCACATCGTACTATCCAGTCTGTGGCGGGAACAGAATAAATTGTATGCGACTTAGAATATATGTGTCACTAAGCTTAAACCTTAAACCCTAAATCGGTGACATCATAGTATTTAATCTGTCACACGACCACATGCAATTGGCTGTAGTTAATATGTGTGATTAAGTCCGTACAGATTCATCAGCGGTTGAAGACCACCGTCTCATATGCGCATTAAATCAACTAGACATTCGGGGAATGGGCGGTCTATGTACTATGCTTCAGCGAGAGCTAGCTGGTAGTGCTAGTTAGGTGGCGGATAGAGATATACCTCACGGGGGGACTTGGAAGTACTGTAATGAATTCAGTGAGAATAAGATAACAGAGATGGTGTTTTGTGTTGCACTAAAACACATCTTTCAGTGCTATACTCGCCCCAGTCTTCCAATGTGGCATCGCTAGCTAATATGAGAAACACAACCAATGAATTTACGTACCGAAAAAGGGTGTCACTTGCGAACCAGTATCACTGTAGCCGAACCACCGCCCTTTATTCCGCTCTCGATCAGTCTTGATGCCATGCCTGCAGAAGCAGAAACAACAACGTACAGATAGGTACAAGCCGGAGATATATTCGTACGAGGTACTAGTCTATGCGGTGAGACAAGCGGATTTAAATGCACAAGTATATCAATCTAGCTCGATTGTTGCCGGGCATCGCACTTGCATATACGTACACAGTCCGCATATGCACACTGCAGCAGTCACATCAGCGAGGGCATTAGCAAGAAACCTTTAACAGTACCTCTAACCCCTCCCACTCACATAAGCGGATTCATATACACAGGTATATCGATCTAGATCGATTGTTGCCCGGCATTCCGATTACATATATATATACGCATCCTATATATGCACACTGCAGTAGCCACACCAGTGAGGGCATGTGCAAGAAACCTATAAAAGTGCCTCTATCGTCCCCCTCTCCACTCGCACGTTCATGCTGATATACAAAGAGGCGTTTGCCACCCAACTCACAAGGATGAAGAATACTCTGAACGAAGGAGTGTTCAAAGTCTTACTGACATATTCATACCTACTGCCAGATTTGTCCTTATCTCTATGAGACTAACCGATCTATCCACAGTTTGAAGCCAACTATAAAGAGTATAGCACTATTTAGATGATCAATTCAAAGGAAAAATTACTCATAAATCACAGATACTGGATTGATCGCTTGGAAATTGCGATCACAAAAAGCAGCTATATATGCCCAGTACATCATATGGATGGCCACATATATAATCTGGGGAAATATATATATATATATACTCTACACAATACTGGCACGCCTCTTGTTTACACAGATGCACAGATACACGGATACATTTCACACACTGGCGGGCGCAGCCGATGAAAACAAAGTACAAACTTACGAAAGACAGTTCTCGATGATGTCGCACAGAGTCCACAGCAGCACATCCGAGTCCTCCACTGCGTATGCGACAAACTGACTGGTCATCTCGTCCACACACGCTGATGTGCGCCATATCCATATTAAAATTCAAGTCAAATCCGATAAGTAAAAGTAGGGTGAAGCAGCAGAAGTTCATACTACACAGGCATACGAAATCCGAGTAATAGCCGTGAGCTCATTTTCTTGTTGAGTCGTTGACACTCTCAGAGCTAAAAACCCCATTCAGCTCAATCAAATAGTCCATATCTCATATCCACATCACTTGTTTTATGTCCGCCTATCATGGCTTATGTCTTGCCTATCATGGCTTATGTCTGCCTATCATGTGTTATGTCTGCCTATCATGGCTTATGTCTGCCTTTCATTGATAACGTGCTGCTTATATGATTAATGTGCTGCACCTGCACGAGTAGTCTGGTGAAGTCCTCGTCCCACGAGCAGAAACTCGCACCACGGCTGAGAAATTAACAATAGATAAACATGCAGGCATCATCGCGCGCAAGTGTGACTTGATCTCAACGCAGTCTATCTATGGAGGAAGCTCATCAGTACCAAAGCGATCTACTCCAGACGACCAAAGTCTCAGAAGTATCAATGTTTCACCGTCATTCTGACTATTACAACAAACCTTTCA